AGCGGCTTGTATACAGTCTCAGAGTGCTGGATTTGGGGTGGAACCCTCCATGCATTGTGAGGAGCTTTCTCGTCTTGATGTCAGTAGCCTCTATCTCCTCTTTTGGCCAGTTTATTATACCAGCGGGGTATCTGATGACTGGTAGGGCATATGTGTTGATGGCTTGGATCTTGTTTTTCCCATTCAGCTGACTTTTCAGGACCTGCCTTACTCTTTGTAGATATATATATATATATATATTGGAATCGTTAAGCAATGATAAATACATTTTCATGTACTGATATTAGCTGGCTGGTTTTAAGATTTTTTTTTTTTTCGCGACAAGACGTCTTATTTGGTCAAATGTTGAAAAATAAACACTGTGTAATGTCACAGCTCTGCGTAGAAAAAGTGTCTGAGCATTTATATGGAAAATAATAGCAGTGTCACGTCCGTCACGAAGTGTGGTTGGAAACAGTTGTACGGAGCTCCTTGCTTTTGGCCCACGCGCTGTCGTCACAGCCCTCTCGTGCCAGTGGCCTCCTGCCATATTTATCATGCCGGGCAAGATGGCGGCTACGCAGACGATATGTTCCTACCAGTGAACACATAAAAGGCGTTTTATTAATTATATAAAAACGAAACGGATTCCTTTACACGTTTGTCTGGATTGCGTGTGTACTCTTCCTTTGGCTAGTGTCGAAGTCGTTTTTGTTTTTCAAATTTTCGACGTTTTTTTTCCTCACAAAATGTTCCCGTTGTGAGTCGCTCGCTAACCGAGGCTAACAGAGCAGTTAGGAGCTAGTTAGCTCTCTATCAGAGTGTAGAATGGGGGAAAAGCTGGAGCTCAAGCTCAAATCGCCGGTTGGAGCGGAACCCGCGGGTTATCCCTGGCCGTTACCAATATACGTAAGTGATACCATTCACCATCTAGTAAGGACAGATTTTTGTTTACCCTCATGAGGTTGTCTTTGTTAGCTCTGTTGGCTAGCTGGGTAACAGAAGAAGATAGGACTCCTCCGGGGAATTGGTTAACAGCAGACTGTCAGCTGCAGATACAGTTTTCTCCTTTTACATTTTAGAATTACACAAAATGCCACGTGCTGTATTATGTGATTAATATTTGTGCTTTTTCTGACGAGATTGTGGATGTTTAGTAACCAGTGGTATTCAGGTCAACACTTGGTTCAAAAATATTGTTAAAAAAATTACGGAAACAGGCCTGTTGGTCTCTTTATATCAAGATTGTTGTATCTATTCTCTATTTCCCGTGTTTATTACTTATTTATTTATATGCATGCATTTGTATTAAAGTGGTGTCATTAACGGGCATGCGTGTTGTAATGTTAATCTAAGGTTAATATCCATTTTCCAGTTTGTGACATTGTTTGACAAACATAGATCGTGCACATCCTGTGTAGACCAACTCAGTTGTAGCCATTGACTTCTGCATTTGTTGTGGTATTTTAGCCAAAACACCCCTCCCCCAGTCAGCTAACCATCAAATGAATGAGTGGTGTGTATGGCTGTGTATGTATGCTTATTTTCTAATGTCTATAAACAATTTATATATATATATATATATATATATATATATATATATATATATATATATATATATATATATATATATATATATATATATATATATATTACTGATGCATTTTTTTCTTGTATCGGTATCAGTCGATGTGTTGCTGATTCGTTTGTGCATCCAGCAGCCATGCCTTGAAATCACGTGATAAGGATGCGTTGCTGCTCCCCCTATTTGCTATCCATTTTTAAATGTTTCCTTTTATTTTTTACATGTTTAATTTTGTGTTTACATTTCTTAATTATTCTTTACTGCATAATTTTAAATTCCATTAAAAGTTGTCTGATTCTAAGTTATAATCTTAATGGTGAAATAAAGCACCTTTCCCCCCAGGGAACTGCAAAACTCATGTCAAAATAATCTATATTGGCATTAGCCTTGAAAAATCTGTTTCGGCCGATCTGTAATTTTTTTTTATGTATCAGTGCTGTTGTTGCATTATTTAACTGCAAAGCATTCCTTTGAGTAATAGCTGATGACCTTTTCTGTTTCAAACTTAAGGAACGTTGATGTCTCATTTGGTTGCTCTTGATATGATAGTTGAAGGCCTTTTATCTCCGCTGGGCTTTCTTGTAGCTTTGTGCATGTCTGAAGCTGATAGCAGCTCCTTTCATTTAAAATAAGAAAAAAACAAACCCAATAACAGCTGTGGTGGTGGGGGTTTCTGTTTTTTTTTCCCCTCTTTTCTTTGGGGCATCAGTTCTCATTTATAATAATTATAGCACCAAATTTCTCTGAATGCTTAAGTTTGGTTTCTTTGAAGTTTGTTTCTTTGAGACAAACTACACCCACACTGAAGTCTACCTCGTCAGTCTTGTTCTTTCAGTTTTGTCATTTTGTCAGTTTATTTCGTTATCAAAATATGCACTGAATGAGTGGTTTTGGTTATTGAGTCACTCACAGTTGCTGCCTCCAGGTAAACAGACTTGCACAGTCTCGTGAAGGGGAATGGAGAATGCCAGGAATTTACTCTGTCTGATCATTGTGATAGCTGTTTATATTGAGATTAGTGTCATGGGTAGAATTAGAAACAGCTGATCAAGTGATCATCCTCTGGTTTTAGAATATAACTCTTCATTCCTCTTCCCTCCTTCTTCTGATGATGATTCTATATTAGTATATAACTACTAACTCCGGTATGTAGAGTTTTAGGCAATCAATGTTCTTATAAGCCTTTATGTAATCCAGTTTGTTCATGTTGACTGAAATAGACTCTTCTGTAATAACATGTTCCACGTCCACTTAATTTGAGACTGCTAATCTCACTAACAACAAACAAATTGCTGACTGTTTCATGCTCAGCTTGTTGGACAACAAGATGCATGGTGGGAACTAAAGGCAGATAAGCATGTTTTTGCTAAGCTAGCTGGTTCATCCTGTCTAACTCTAGTTTTTTTTTCTTTGTTCACTAAACCCCCATATGTGTGCATTTGTAAGTGCTTCCATATGAAGTCCACCACCTCTGAAGTTGCAGTTCCTGCTCCATCTGGTTTTGGGTGGAGGCGTTAAGAGGCCTCAGCCAACACTTAAGAGACACCAGTGCCTCATTGCTTTTAGACACAGTACTTCTCTTGTTGGCTTCTCAACATCCCCAACCCCCTACAAAATATTCATGCAGATTTTTACATAAATGAATTCTGTATTTAATGTGTGAAACCAACCCTTAGATGTCATTAAAGTTCCTCATATTTGTAGGCGTGTCAGTGGTGACAGAAGAGGTGCTCATTAGCTCAATGTATTCAAATGTGCTTGTTGACGGACCGTGCTGTGTGTGGTAGGTAGTCGGTGTAGTATTCATGTGTAAGCCTGTCTTAGTCATTTGTTTTTGGCTGCTGAGATACAAAGTGGAATAGTGTCGTGTAAAGCCCCCATGCCCCCTGTGCGTCACTGTGATGTGACAGGAGATTGACTGTAGTCTTTGCGTGCACTGGCAGAATCGTACATGCATCCGTCAGCACCACAGCTGAGACTGAGAGGGAGGGTCTTCTGTTCTTTTTGTCTGGCTCTCTCTGCTTTGTCAGAGCGTGTTTATTTTTAGCACCAGCCTGCTGCTGGTGTTGCTGTGTGCTGTCCTCATTTTAGCAGGTGACCTCCCCCCACACTGCTCCTCTCTCGTGCACTAAGTCATTTTCATGTCTTTGCATTGCATGGGTTCCTGAACATAAGATTTAAAATTTACTTTGCAAAGCAACTTTTTTCAGGAAAGCTTTTAGACTTGCCTTTTTAAACACGGAGCTTGCACCTAGCTTGATACTGTGTCGATTTTGTGCTCTCTAACATGCACATCTAGTATGTAGATGTCAATAGCTACTATAAATTTTTGCGTGTGCATGCAGTTTTGGGGTTTGGCGGAAGTTTAGCATAGTGGAGGCGGGCATTATTGAGCGGGAAGCTGGGAATTCCTGGCTCTTAGCTCTTGACTGTAGCTGCTTTGCCAGACCGCAATACCTAAAAACAACCTCTCAGCCTTTCTGTAGCTCCTCAGCTCTGCCTTATAAACTTTGCATTTTTTTGTTGCATGTCTCTCATTCCTTCTTTGAATTTCCCATATTTTCTTGCTCTCCTTGCCAATGTGTTGGAACAGAAGACAAAAAGTGGGTCAGTGGGTCAGCACAGGGAACAGGCTCAGACTGGCTGCACGCTGGATGAAACCTGAGTGCTGTTCCACCTACAAAAAAACTCGGATCCTGCTAACACTTCTAATTTTAGATTTCCTGCATGCATCAAAAATATTTCAATGTATTTTTTACCCTTTTTGAAACCTTTTCTTTTTTTAAAGATCATTTAAAAGTTAATTCGACAGCTGGTGTTCTTCAGCTGCATACACAGGTTTTCCGTGTGGGAGCTAGGGGTCAACCTTTTTTTTTTTTTTCAAAAAGAGAGCAGCAACCAACTGTTTGAAGATTGCTGCAAAGTAGGTCGTGTTCTAATGAACTGGATTGATCTAAATTGCAAAAATTCTTAGATAATGCAAAACCCAGTATGAACTGGACTGCAATAAATTAGATGATCTATTAGTTAATGAATTCCTTCCTCAGCAGAGAAATGCAACTGCCTGATTGTTTCCTAAGGGCATATACAGTGTATGCTGACTGTTTTCATAAACAAATCCTGTTGATCTATTCATTGCTAGAGTCAACAAAAAAATAGGTTTTCTATTTGTATCACTTATTTCAGATTATCTGTTATAATCTGTTATTCTGTTGCATCCCCAAAAGGCTCTGAATACATGAGAGTAAATGGTAGGGATGTTCTGCTGCTCTATCGATATTTCAGTTTTTAGTATTAATCTGATACCATCACCAATCATACACACTTTTATTGCTAATTTTGTAGTGTGGAATTTTAGAAAAGGCTCGATCAAGTGATATTATCTAAACAGAGGAACACTAGTCAACAGTAAATATGAGAACAACTGACCCATTTATTATCAACCCATGGGCTACAGTTACTTGAAACAGAAGCAGAGTGTTTCTATCAGCTTTTTTACATCTGTGATTTTCAGACGTAGGCTGATGTAGTCCAGTGTTGGCTTCTTGGGGGGCTGATATCCGATCAATTTCTGATAAAGAAGCAGCAAAATGTGTTATCTTCAATCATCTCTTCAAACCACATTTTTTTCAGTAGTAAAAAAATGTTCCTATGACTAATGAGGTTTACAAAAAGCTCAAAGTCCTCCCAAGCAGCAGTTTCATACACCTAAATGTGTTAATAACACATTTAGGTGTGTTCTATAATATAGAACAACAGAGAAATTATTGCCTAAAAGGTTCACAATGACTCCCATTTTCATTTATCCTGAAAAAAATGTATTCCTGCATTGGATGCCATCTCTCTATACCATATGTATTTAGTTTTTTCCATGGCTTATTTCAAACCAAGCTTTCACAGCTTTAATTCAAGCTGGTATAATATTTTTTTTTTATGTTTTCCTTCATAATAAAGCTTGTTTTAAACATAAGAAATTAAAATGCCAGCACTGACCTCCTCTTTACAGAATCCCTGACACATTTCCATATGGGTCTGGTTAACCATTGGCAGACAAAACTCTTAGAAAATGTTTCTCTCCAGTTTTATAAGTGTATTATTTTGCTTTGATCACCATCACTTAGGGCTGGGCCTTAAAATCTTATTGCGATATCTTATTGTACTATCGTGATTACGATAAAATTGACAATAAATACACTTCTTAGGTAGCTATAGAGCTTTGAAAGCATGGCACAGCAATCATAGCCTCACAATCACATACATTACGCTTAAAAAAATATCCACATTTAAAATGGGCTTCTTCGGGACACATTACATGAAGAAGTGTGATTTATATCACTAAACATCCTATAATAACCACATTTAATCTTATTCTTTGAAATAGCCAAACCCATTTTTGTTTTTAGTTTTATCATCATTAATTCTAGTTCATTGTTTAGAAAATAAAAATATCAAGACTAGAAATGTATCGCGATAACAATGAACAAAAAGCCTACTACCATTTTTAATGACAAGTCAGCTCTGCTGAACCTTTTGCCATTTCTCCTATTTGAACAGTTTTGTTTGAAGACCGGAGATTTGGTGTAAACAAGCTTTTAGCTGCAAATAGCCACCAAATTACACTCGGAATTTCAGATTCTTTGACGTAGGAAGCAGATTATTTGTCAAATCAAAGATTTTCTAGACAAACTAATTACCTTGTTGGTTGTGATGCCATTTTTACACTGCTCAAAAAGAACGGTAGATTAATTTGTTTAAAACTGAGTGCAACACATGACTCAGGGAGCATGTCTAAATCTGTAGTTTTTTAAGGCATCCTCATAATTAAGAACAATTAAGTTTTTTTTTTTTATTATTTATACTTTTCTCTTCCCTTTTGATATTATTAATTTTTTTTCTTAGAAAACAAAACTCCTTCAGCTGCTGGAACAGTTCAGTCATTACAAGAAAAAAAAGTGAAGCTGCCAGCAGTTGTTTGGTGCTTTTACAGGTGTAAGTACACATTTATAGTAACTATAGTGAGACAGTCAACACTGACTGAAAAGCGCTGAATTTCTCCGAATGCCTGAGTAGGGTCTCTTTGTAGTTTGTCTCTCCACCCACGCTACATTTGATCTTCTTATTCTAGTTCTTTCAGCTTCCTCAGTAAGTCCTTTTATTTCGTTATCAAACCAAACTGAAAGAGGTTTTTGGGTCACAAAGTTACTCACATTTTTGCTTCCACAATACAGCTAGGGTTGCGTGATTATGGCTGAAAAATGTTTCAAAATGTAAGCCAACCAAATCAGTCAATAAAAATAAAATTGTTTGTTTATTTTTGTCTCTATTTTAGCTAATTTAGATTGTTGCTGTTAGCCTCTTTAAGTGTAACCGTTAACCTTTAAAATTAGGTCAGACCGACTACCAACTCTGCTTAGCTTGGCCATAAAAGGTTAACAGATCAAATGATTTTATCTGCCTCCTACTTCCAGAATGTTGTTGCTTTCTGGATTGGAGTTCATTGAAATTATAGAACATTTTATTGAACATGTTTTTTTATTAATTTTTATCAGATGTCTTTCACAATAGCCTTTGTTGTTTTTATTGCCCAGCCCAGCTTACCGGCATTCCGTATGGATAAACTAAAACAAAGAATTTCAGGAATTTCATATCCTGGTTTGTCTATATCTTAGGAGCAGCTGATTCGTGTGGATAGAAAATATGGGGTCAGCACCTCTCCTCCTGTTTTCAAAGGGAAAGGCTTCCTCTTCCCTCTCCCTTTTCTGTTGTCCATATGGTCAGGTCTCTGCAGGGAAGAAGTTGAGCTGTGATCATGTTCTGCTACTTTGATCAAGTAAAAATGCTTGCACACATATCTGAATTAAACGTGTTTCAGTGAAGTGTACATGTATGGGGTTTTAACCTTTTCAATAGTGTTGCTGCTAATCAAGGAACTTTAAAAAAACATGTTCCACCCACACTCACAGTAGTTAAGATTAGTTATCTCACCCACAGAGTATGAACACTTTGCTGCCTGTGTTTTGATATTATTATTGCTCGCTCTTATGGCTGATGAATTAAATGTGGTGTTAGAACCAAGCAAAAGCACTGAATTATTGATCTGGTTCATCTAGTTTCATCCTGTTTGCTTCCCCACCCCTTGTTATCCTTATGGGACCTTTTCATTTACCCCTAGCTATATTTTGTCAGCTTAGGCTCTCCTATTTATTTTTGTCCCCCCTTCTGTGGCAGCCCATAAATTACAGCCCTCTTAGTCATTTATTATTTAGACTGAAGAAAATCTAGAAAATTTAGATTTTCTTCAGATTTTCTATAGATGACCTGATTTATAGACAAGTTGTCTATAAATCAGGTCATCTATAGTTCACAATATTGATACAATAACAAGTACTTGATAATTGGCCATTTTCTCCAAAGCCCTTCAAGCGTTTTCTCGTCTGGGTCTTTCCGTAACACGAAGGGTTAATTTTCTTTTATAATATGCTGAGTTGAAAATTATTTTAATCTATTATAGTTTAACAATTTGTTGTGCTAGCTGTATTAAATACTAAAAAAAACAAAGTTTTCTGTGTTAAAAAACCCCCAGAAATCTGCTGAATAATACTAATTTTTATTTAGTAAAATTATTCAATATATTTTCAGTAATGTTTTGTTACCAAATAAAATCTGTGAAACTCTTTACATTTTCAATGAGCAGAAATGTTAAACTATTGTTAAAATACAGGGTATGTCACTGATATGCTGGCTGAGCATTTACCACTTAGTTTCGATAAAGTGGATTGTAACTGGTGTGGGTCTGGTTTTAGTATAATCTAACAATCAGTGGTGAGAGATACTTTGTGCTGTAAACGGTGCTTATCAACAGATGGTTCTCAGTGGGATGTTATTGCTGTCTCTTTGCTATATAGTCTTTTTCTATCATGTTATTATTATGGTTAGAATGGCGGAGAAGTTGACGCTGCTCCACCATGCAGCACGGCTAAAAGGAGGGCTGATTTATGTGATAGCTTGGGGAGTATATGGAGTTTTTATATTTACAAACAGAACCACATAAAATGCATTCTACATTTCATTTGTCTTTTAACAGTGTAAGTAATCCCAGACAGGATGGCTTGAAATGAGTTTAGGCCTCACATTGTTTTAACTGTGTATGCAGCTGCAGGGTCCTAAACATCACATTAGTGGGTTTTGCAAAGAGTTACAAAATGTTTACACTAGATTTACAAGAATGCCCAATGGCGTTTTAACCAGTCTACAGTCTGGTTGTGATTGACATGTATATAAGTGTTGGGGTTCGGGATCATATCCTTGTATTTACAGAAAAAATAAAACATGTAGAAAAGATGAGCTTTTCAATCACACCTTTTTGGCCATCTGATAACATTGATGCACAGACTTGAGCCTAGTATGTGGCGGTATTGCCAAAAGGTTCACATGCCAGCCACCAAGATAAACCAGTATTGTACAGATAGAATTTGACCTTTCCAGCATTTACCGATTTAATGCGTAATTTAAAAACAATATTTCCGTGTTGAGAGGACTGTGTGAACCAGTGGGCTTCCGAGGCTAACTGCAGCCCGTCTGCAGCGGCCCTCTCTCGGCATAGTCGTGTGTGAAGGACCGCTGGCTCTGATGACAATTTTTGACTCAGCTTTGGAATCAGATTTGGGGTTTTTCATTGAAATGTGAGCAGGAAGAGGCTCTACGCTCATCCATTTTTAAAAAGGACGTATTTGCAGTTTTATAGACAGGCTGTTTGTTTACACTCCCCCACAGGCTTCCTGTCGCGCTTACTTCGTCACAGTCAGTTGCGCTCATTGGTCAGAGTGTTGACTAATAGGCACAGACAGCGGTTTGAAAAACAACGGGTTGTTCTCATTTACAATCCTCCGACGTCTCATTCATCGGGGCCAGACTAAATAACACCTTTCATCTTCCATTTAGTCTGGTTTATCAGGCTAACAGCTTTGATTTTCTGAGCATTGTTTGTGCAGCTTGGGGTTTTGTTTTTGTTGAGCCATTCCACATTTATAACTCGGGTTAGGGGGGGACGCCTTAGAATTTCAGGGGAAAAAAGCCCTCAGGAACTTTTTAGTTATGTCTGATGTGGCCGTGTTTTCTGTTAGGAGTTTCTGTAATGAGAGGATGAATCGGACCTAATGGTTGTTGTGGGCATTTCACTCTAGTTGCAAAAAGCTATAATCAACTTCCCATGTTTTATATAATGAATGCCCTTATTTTTGTTTAGATCATTGTTTCTTGAGCTTTTGATTGTTTTCTGCTTGTTTTAATGTTAGCAACTCATGATTCTATTAAATGTACAGCCTCTGGTTGAGTCATTTGTGATGTTCGTGGTTTAAATACGCCTTGTCCCTGTCTCGTTTCAGGATAAACACCATGATGCTGCTCATGAAATCATCGAGACCATTCGGTAAGTAACATCACCACCAGACTCCCACCCCACCCACAGAATACTCCACACTCTCTTGATCATGTCAAATGTCACGATCAATTAAGTGATTATCTTGTGTGGGTGTTTTTTTTTTTATTCTCTAGGTGGGTGTGTGAGGAAATCCCTGACCTCAAACTGGCCATGGAAAATTATGTGCTCATCGATTATGATACCAAGAGGTTAGTCCTGGATTGCGTCACATTCAGAATTTATGTTGAAAGAAAGAAACATGAAATACCAAACATCAGAAGAGAGGCTGAGGTGAACTTTATGATCTCTCCATCATATGCTGACTATCTCATTGATGTTGTTCTTTCAGCTTTGAGAGTATGCAGAGACTTTGTGACAAGTACAACAGGGCTATTGACAGCATCCACCAGCTGGTGAGTCCACACAGGAGCTTTCTCACTCCTCTGTAGGTGGAGTGAAAGTATTAGTCACAAGCAGGTGGGGAATTATGGGTCTATGTGTTATCCTTTCTTTCTGTCTTGGCGATAAATGAGTATTATCTGATTTGTTTTTCAATCAATGTTTATTCAAGCTTTCAAATATTAGAGAAAAAACATCCTGTTTTTTAAGTATTTGTTCTTTGTTTGTCTTTACTTTGTTTAGAAATCACCTAAATGTGTTTCTTTTAATTCTGTGTTTTTACTTCCATGTTAATTACATATTCTTTAAAGTGATGTCTGAGATAATTGATGCAGTAATGAGATAAAAATCTCGTTGCAGTGGAAGGGGACCACCCAGCCCATGAAGCTAAACAAACGTCCCTCCAATGGGCTGCTGAGACATATCCTACAGCAGGTGTACAACCACTCAGTGACTGACCCCGAGAAGCTGAACAACTATGAACCCTTCTCCCCTGAGGTTTATGGGGAGACCTCATTCGACCTTGTGGCTCAGATCATTGATGAGATGGAAATGATGGAAGAAGACACATTCGTTGACCTTGGCAGTGGTTGGTTTTCCACCTTTGATATTATTTCATGTATAATGAGCAGCCTGAACCTTTGCTAACACCTTGAATTGTCTTGTTTACAGGAGTAGGGCAGGTGGTACTGCAGGTTGCAGCAGCAACAAACTGTAAACACTACTATGGTGTAGAGAAAGCAGACATTCCATCCACTTATGCAGAGGTAACTGCTATTTACTGTTTGTTTACTGTTTATATAAGCAGCAGAACTGTGGCCGAAATGCTTCTCATTGTTATACGTTAGTTGGTGATAGATTTTAATTCAAAAGGTAAAGCTCCAATTATAAAGCTTTGTTTCTCAAAATATCACATATTTTAATGTCTTTTAATTTAGCTCTTTTTTTATTTCAGAGCTAAAACCTATAATTAACTTTCTGAGAAAAGTGCAGTATAGCAGTAGATCCATAAGAAGTAGATCTGTTACAGAATGAAAAGTGTGTTCATGCACTAAACATGAGTTCCTGTCTCAGTGTTGTATCAGATGAAATGATAACAAGCTGTTAAAAACTCCTGGTAGAAGCAACACCGGATAATGTACATTATCGTTACTGACTAGAATCTTCTCATGGACTCTAAGCAACTAAAATTGTGTGATTCTCTACTCTTGTCTCTGACTCTGGGACTGATTTCCAGATTAAAATTTGCCCTAATCTGAAAAAGGGAAGTTGGTACCGGTAATCAAAAAATGTTACCTGATGACATACCTGTCGTTTCCGGCTCATGTTTAGCTAAGCAGAACGCGGGAGATGTTTTTCTTTACCATGTCCTGGTTATATCTGTATGTGGTGATTATTATAGCCTCGGTCCACCCCCTCTGAGGTTTCCCGGTGCTCTAGAAATTATTGTTTGTGTTACCATCCTTTCAAGGGTTGCTTATGAACATTTCAACCATATTTTTTCCCTTCTGCTTGATTTTATATTATTTGCTTAGATACAGGCTTCATAGGTTATTTTCTTCCAAAGTGCTCTAGCACCATTGTTTGTTTGGTCCAGTTCCTTATGTTTCTACCATCAAAAACTGTGGAAAACTGGTTCCTTCAAGGTAACAACTCTGAAATGGGCCAGAGAAAAAACTTTTTATAAAAAGCTAGAGGCAGGTTTATGGATGTCCGTAAAGAACTTGCTATGGTTAATTAATTGTTTGATTTATTGTTAAGACGTAAAATCATTGTAGTTAAAGAAGAATAAAGCATCAGATTGGTGTCAGAATTACACACGCTCACTCTATTATCTTCCTGCTGTTTGTTTTTGATGTCACCCATTATGGATCTTTGGGAGGTCAGAGCTCAGCATAAACCTGTTCCCACAGCTGATAGATTGTTAAACACTATATATATTTCCCCATCAACTGGTGGTGTTAATGAACCTAGCTGTTTAGGGCCCTGTCACACCTTGCTGATTTAGACAGCATATGCCTGACTTCCCAGAATCTCCTAAAACACTAGCATACGCTGAACTTTCGATGTATTTTTAAAATTTTGGGCGTATACATAGAGTATTCATAACAAGACCAGAACTTATGTCCAACGACAGCCTAACTTAAGAATAATGAACAGCAGCGCAGTGCCCATAAATGATGCACAATCTAGTGTGCTGAGGGAGGGCAGCAATGCGCCCGGAGGCGCCTGGCCTGCATAAAAAGATTTATTTGATCGTGGTTGCTAGCTACTGTTTACCACCCATTATACAGTAGCTGTAAGTTAGAAATACCTTCAGCGGTCGTCTGGAACATGTTAAATACGTTGATATGAGTTGTAGATAAGTTCTTGATAAGTTACGCATAAGTTATGCACACGTTACTCATAGCTTTTTGATAAGCTGGACACCACGACTTATGAGTAACTTACACTTAACGTATGTCAAAAATCAGATGACGGGTCTAAATCATCAAGGTGTGACCGGGGCTTCCTGTTCTCAAGTGAAAAATTAGCTAATTTGTTTTGGGAATCGTTCACAAACATCCATTGTTGATTGTCTTCAGAAATGTATATTAAAGACTCTATCCGCTACGATTCTCCAAAACGATTTAACAGATGTTTTCTCTTGGTTTGGGGAAAAAATAATTATTTTTAAAACAATGAGTTAAGTCCTGATTCTAACATCTGCTTGTTAAACAGTGAATTCTGAATAAATCAAAAATTTTGAACTGTCAGCCTCCCTAACTGACATCTATTAACAGAATATCAAATCTCAGAATCATGTATTATGTCTGTAAATTATTGTTTTATTTTGCGTAATACATTGGAGATTAATGGGCTCATGTTTTTTTTTTTTTTCTCAGACCATGGATAAAGAGTTTAAAAAGTGGATGAGATGGTACGGGAAGAAACACGGGGAGTACACAGTAAGCTCACTCTTCACATCTATAGGGTTAGAGTTTTTCACCAACCTGTTAGTTTTTTTTTCAGACGGTTCAGTCATTTTTCTGTGTTTTCAGCTGGAAAAAGGGGACTTTCTGTCCGAAGAGTGGAAAGAAAGGATAGCCAACACAAGGTAGCACTCTAAACGACAGTTTCACACACGGATTTCATTTATTCAAATTAAGTTAAATTTCATCCTTTTATGTTGATTTCAGGTTTTTAAAAGGTTAGGGACTGAGATCACTGAGATAGAATATTACCATTACACACAATAATTTTTTTAGATATTATTTTAATATTTTATCCTTGGTTAAATCTGTAATTGTTTAAGTTTTTATACATGAATGATTGCATGAGGCCAGCAGATGTTAGACTGAACATGTTTAATTTTCTTTAATTTATATAACCTAACTGCTTTTCCTTCTCCCCTTTCTGTGGTTCATTAGGTTAAAAATAACCTATTATCAGTGTGTTATTAAAGTAGATTTGACTGTGACTATACTCAGAAATCTGGGGAAGTCAACATTGTTTTTAATAATTAATAGACTTTAGGAAATATTGATTTCCTAAAATCTTTTTCTTGAATGAACAAATGTAACTTTTTTTGTTTTGTTTGTATGTCTGAACAAAAATACTAAAACATCTACTTCTCTGTCTATTTTCCAGTATTATTTTTGTGAATAACTTTGCCTTTGGTCCAGAAGTAGATCACCAGCTGAAGGAGCGCTTTGCTAACATGAAGGAAGGTACGTAGTCATTTAATACTCTGAGGACAATGATGAGCCAGCGCTTCCAAACGCAACGTTTCTCTACATTTATTTCTTAATATCTGTGCAATTATACTGAAAATACCATCGGAAAGCCCAGAAGATATTACATAGCCAAGTGCGAGCCAGCAAAAGCCTGACACCCCTACTTCAACTATGCCCACGTTTGCTATCGATTAAACAAAATATCAGATCTTTTTTCAGAGACTTAACACGTGTTTATTACTCTAAAACAACGTTTGCGATAACTTCCCGGGGTAACAGTAGAGCATTTTATTATCAGTGGTTCTGGAGAGCAGTAAGTAGGAAGATCTTCAAGGTTTTGATTCTTGCGATGAAAAGGATTTTGACATCAGATTAGAACGATGTGAAGAAGGGGTAAGTTAATTTATTTTACCAGAAATGGTTTCTAAGCCCATGCCCTGTGTAATCCTGCTCTGATCGGGGCTTTTGGTAAAGCTATCTGGGCTGACTCAGCATTAATCTATAAAAGATTTTATGCATCTGTAGACACTGAACTAGACTGTCTTTTAGTATGTTTGTCTGTTGTAGATGCTAAAACTATGCATAAGAATGGTTCTGTGGCCACAAACAGGATAATATTGTTGCTTAGATAGAATGTGTCTAATAAGTTGTGTGTGATTTTTGTATAAATAGCAATTTTTTATTTTTTAAATGTATATATATATTTTTTTTATTGTCTAAAAGTGGAGGTCACAGCTATAAGCTGGTAGACCAGGTCTCTGATATTTTAGTTTTTTTAATGTATGTATATGTTTTACTTCTTCCACAAAACTGCAATTCAGATAAAGCCGTTTAGAGTATTAGAAACAATCTGGGCAAAGGGTAGGAGATTAAAGATGAAAATTAGAAAAGGTTTATAACGAGATCTTTTATTCAGCTAAATCCATTTACTCTACCTTCAAAACGACACCATGTTTACATTAAGCACTATGTTCGTCTACGATTCCGTCAATAAGTACTAGTAAATATAGCAACACATACTTATGATTTGTAAGGCGAGTGAAATGCTATTCGGTTACTAGATGTTTATATTTTATTTCCTCAAGGGTTTGCGGTTATGCGGCGCTCGGTTTTCTTCCAACAGGGACACTATCTTAGTGCTTGTGTTCCATATTGTGACAAAAATTAGTCTTTCAAAAAGGCAGAGATACAAAAGGATGTGTATGATGTTAAATAGAATAAAATAAAAATATTCCAGTGGAACTCTAAGTGAGTTAAGATATCAACAACAGATTATGTTTAGTTTATATCTTATGTCAACAATCCTCTTTGGTTTTATGCAATGTGTGAATACTGTCTTGGTTGTCGTTATAATCACCAATTTCTTTTATGTCTCCAATCCAGCATAGAGATGAGGTGTTTAATGAAATAAATGTATTGAAGTTTCTTTTTTTTTTCTTTCCAGGAGGCAAAATTGTGTCCTCCAAACCTTTTGCACCTTTAAATTTTCGAATCAACAGTCGAAACTTGAGCGGTAAGATTTCTACACAAACCCTTAATTTGTTATGTAATAATTGTTTCCTGTTTTTGGCTGACGCTGTTCCTCTCTGTGCTGCAGATATTGGCACGATAATGCGCGTGGTGGAACTGTCTCCATTGAGGGGCTCGGTATCATGGACTGGAAAGCCTGTTTCCTACTATCTTCATACCATAGACCGCACCATAGTAAGCATGGGATTTGTAATTGCAGTGCAGAGAAGTAGAAGTTGAACCCTTACCACTAAAGCAGTAAATAATACATTAAAAGCCAAGATGAACTGAAGCCAGTAAAGAGCCTGTCGTTAAAAAAAAAAACTTGTCATGATTTAGTTAGAATAAAAAAGGCATGGGAATGCAATGGTTTTCAGGCACAATTTCTGATTAGAAAGCTCTTTTTTGGCCATTTCAGCAACTTCAGAAGACTTGATAAGGGTTAGGAAAAAGCTGTTTTTGTAGGCTTATAACTGGGTTACTTGGCTTTAGTTGTGATTCAGGTCTTGCCTTTTTTAAAGCTTATAGAAACACTGCTAGAAACATCTATATCGTGTTGAATATTACCTATGTAATTAAAGACAGCATATTCATCCAGTATCAACATTTTCCCTCTGTTTCAGCTTGAAAACTATTTTGCCAGTCTAAAAAATCCTAAACTCAGGGTAAGTTATTCTCTACTTTCTAGGTGTGTTGGTTTTGTCTCTGTATTTTTGTATAAAACTGTTAAACCTTTGGGTTTTATGTTAGGAGGAGCAAGAGGCAGCTAGACGTCGTCAACAAAAGGACACAAAGGACAGCAAAAGCAATAACACCACCCCTACCAAAACCAAGGAGCAAAACAAGGTGAGCCATGTGCAGGAGACCCACTATATTGTCCAAATGTTTTCACTCAGCCACCTGTGCATTAAATAAAGCAAGGGGTCAGCTCCATTTCTGATGAGTTCATAGCTGCAGATTTGAAACCTTAAAGTTTCCTTAAGATCAAGTCAACAATTTTGCAGCCAGTCTTTTAAGAAAGTGGTTTGTATGGAGGAGTGGCTGCATTTAAGCTGCAGCTACAGTTTACTTTACAATCAGAGACAGTAAACAAGGTCTACTTTCTAACATTAGTATGCAATGTCATAAAAACACATTAATGCAACTCCAAACTATGTGAGAAGTTAAAGCTGTGAAAGTAGCCCACGTCATTGCTTATACTCAACTATATAGAATGTATATCAAGGCAGGTTGGCAATGCAGTAAATTTAAATCAACAAGTCTCCTTCTCTATAAACACTTTCTTGTGTAAATCTTGAGCTAGTGTAGCGAACATAACATGAATCTTTGTCTTTACACAGCAGCAGGACTCTTGTGGTGAGGAAGAGCGTCCTAGCTTGGTGACCGTGGTCAAAGCCACTCCTAAGCCCAGGAGAAACCGGCTGTTAGCCAAAGGTCGCAAGCTAAACAATAAGAAACGTGGTCGACCCAAGAAAGCCACCCCTGCTGTGGAGAAGAATAAGAAAAATCAGAGCGCATTAGATCTGCTGCATGCAAAGACTCTTTCTGCAGCGCCACCTCAGGGTCAGTAGACTCACACTTTTTCAGCGCATGATGAATGCTTTTAAGCAGAAAAAAATACATAAGCTGTAATGAGATATAAAAATGTAAATGTTCTTGTTTATAGATGCATATCGGTCGCCTCAGAGCCCCTTTTACCAGCTACCTCCTAAGGTCCAGCACTATAATCCCAGTCAGCTGCTGCTGAGCCCAACTCCTCCGGGTCTGCAACAACTACTTGGTAAGCTAACTCCAGACAGAAACACAATGGTTCATACATTAGACGGGAATTTATCATCTAGATTTATGATAATAATTAATATAGATACATATAAAGACGTCTTTACAAAACTTAATTTCAATCTTCAGATTTCCAGTATGAATAGTTAGAATATATGAGCTTAAATCTCTTTATTAACCATAAAAAGTTGAACTTTTTCACCTTGTTATAACTAAAGTTTCAATCATCCACACTGATTTTATTGTTTAAGTCATATTTATCAAACTCCAGGCAATGTATTTGTCCTCCAGGTGCCAATAATGCATACCTTTTTTATTTTTAATTGCATTAAAGAGAATAGTGGCTCATGAAATATTGGTATTCATTATTAAAAGGGTGCAAAGTGGCTAAAGTCGATAAAGAAAAGTAAGGTTATAAAACCAGAACATTGGTCTTAGTAAATAAGAAATTTTTCCAGTGATAAAGTTGTAAGAAGTTTAAAGAATTGATATTACTGAAAGGACCTGTTATAAAAACGTTATATCGGGTCCTTTATATCACTCCCTTTCTTGTTCCTTTTTTTGAGAATAGATCAAGTATCTACGCTATTTTAAAACACTACTATTAGCCACTATAAAAAAAACAACAATTTGCCTTAAAAACAAGGATGAGTAGTTGTAAATCATGTGTGAATTTCCTAAACCAAATAAAAAGATAAAATAACTCTTTAATCTTTTTTTCCTATCTCCATTGTCCAGATAACATCAAAGTCCAGTACCTCCAGTTTATGGCTCATATGAAGACCCCTCAGTACCGCTCCAATATACAGCAGCTTCTAGAGCAGGAGAAGGTGATTGGACATGTTCTGCATGTTTTCATTGCTGTCAACATTAACTACTACAGTAATGGTTTAGATGTCAGTGTTTCTTTGGAACTCAGTCTTGGTTCTACCTTGCTCTCTTCCTCCAGAATAAACACAGGGATTTATCAGGACAGGCGGAGCAGCTTCATTTGGTCTGTCAGTCTCACAAGGACAAGATTAAACAACTCTTTCAAACCAAACTGGACGAGGTGAGAAGATATTTGAAATGTTGTTTCTCCACAAAAATTGGTATAATAGGGAGATCTCTTTGATCCATCATCTTTAGGAAGAAAACTTGAAAATAATGGAAAACTCTGTGATTAAATATGTGATCTGTTTGTGAACAGCTTGGAGTTAAAGCCCTGACAGTGGAGGACCTCATCCAGGCTCAGAAGGAGATATCAGCCCACAACCGTCAGCTGAAGGAGCAGACTAAGCAGCTGGAGAGAGACATGGCTTTACTGAGGGACCACAGCCTGCTTCTGGTGAGACCCTGTTCTAGTTGTTTGAACTTCCAAAACTTTTTAGACGATCAATTTTCACTCTGTGTAATTAGAGGAGCTGATTGTCTTTGCCAGAGGAAAAAATAAAGAATCTACTGCTAACTGATTTTGCTTGTTTTTAGCTGAAGTCCCGATGTGAGGAGCTGAAATTGGATTGGGGATCTTTGTGCTTGGAGAGTTTGTTAAAGGAGAAGCAGGCTCTGCGCCGGCAGATTTCTGAGAAACAGAAGCACTGCTTGGAGTTGCAGGTACACACCACACCTCAATATGGGAGTTATTTTCATCTGCCTGTTTAATTAAAATGTATTTATTCGTAAATCCATGTTCATGTGACCAGGCATTCATAAAAAAAAAATTACTCTTCAAGGCTACAAAATTGATTTTATATAAAATGAGCAAATCAAAGCTCAAAAGATAACCAGTTTAATTTTAAAAAATGTCAGAACTTTTTCAAACTCATTGAACTAAAACAAACCTCTTAAGACCTGGTATTACTACACATTTGTTGCTAATCACTGAATATATTTCATTTAAGCATTTAAATTCTCACTTTAAAATAAAAAAAATGTTAAAATAAAGTTTCTTCAAAAAGAATCCACATAAACATCCCACCGGTTTTTACCTGAGCTGTGGTTCTTATCTGTATCTGCTGTTGATGAACGCCTGTTTTCCTTTGTAATGCTTCCCTCTGCTGTCCGTTTACAGATCAGCATTGTGGAGCTGGAAAAAAGTCAGAGGCAACAGGAACTGCTTCAGCTCAAATCCTACAGCTCTCGTGATAGCTCCCCCTATAGGAAGAGTCTGGAGCCGCGCAGTTCTGCAGATATGGACTCATCCAAGCTCAGCATGTCCTCGGCCCCAGCACTAAATGGCATTAGCCCAGAGCTCTCAGTCAATGGGACCAGCTCGCCATGTTTTGACCGGGTTAACACAAAAGTGGAACTTTCTCGCTACCTTCCCATTTCTCCAGACCACGAGATGGGGGCCAGCACCCCAGAGGCTCGACAGAGGCAGCAGAACTCTTCCCAACCAGACTACACTCGCTTATCTCCTGCCAAGATTGCCTTACGGAGGCACCTTAACCAAGACCCCAATGCCTCTGCTCACCTGAGGGGATCGGGTTTAATGATGAACAGGTGGGCTTCTCCTAGAAGGCTATATGAAAGATGATGGCCAGTTTCTAAAGTCTTCTTTGTTTGTTTTTTGTTTTTTTGTTTGTTTTGTTTTGTTTTGCTTGTCTTTTTTTTTTTTTTTTTTTTTTGTTTCTTTGTTTTTTTTTTTATGTTTCTTTTGTTTTGTATTTTTGTTTGTTTTTTTAGGGAACTTGGAGGTGTGAATTCCCCTCATGGAGCCAAGCAGAACTGTCCCTCTCCTGGTGCATCTGATGTTCAGTGTAATGGAAAAATCTCTGACAGGGTAATCACTGATTTTTTTTTTTTTTTCCCCCCTTTCAGTTTATCTGACTGATAATTTATTTGATGCTTTTCAGTATTGACACATTTCTCTCATTGGTGCAGGATTTATCCAAATATGAATTGATTCCTTGATAGTATAATAAAGTCTCAGTTAAATGTAAATCTCATGTTACCTCTAGTGTCTGATCAAATAAGTGAGATGTCCTCTAGACTTTGTCACAATCGATCATTAAAGGAAGAGGACAGGGAACAGGCCTATATCCAACCTATACCTCTTTATCCAAACACAGCCTGAAAACATATTTAACTCTTGGAGCAGAAAATGTTTGTCTCACTTGTAAATGATGCCATCTCATTAAAGCATTAGAGCTTTGGCTTCATTTTTAGGTGGCTAAAGCTAAAGGAAATACCTTGATACAATTTTCGTTTTTAAGCCACTCTTTTTGTCAAGAAGAAAAATTCAGATCACTTTGTCTATAGAAATATTACTAGTCAGAAACGGACTTTAGTGGATGAAAATAAATCTATCGTGTTGGTTTTTATCCAGGGCGGTAAGGAGAAGAGTCAATCTGTTCAGGGTGACAGCATCACCAGCCTTCCAATCAGCATCCCTCTGAGCACAGTCCATCCCAGTAAATTACCAGTCAGCATCCCACTAGCCAGCGTGGTGCTGCCCAGTCGTGCTGAGAGACATGTGAGTTTACTCATTCCTAAATTACAGTATCTTGACAGCCTCACCTGCTCTAACTATGTGTTATTGCTGTGTTGTCAGTCATTATAATTGTGTGGTAAATAGAAGAGTTAAATTGCTGCCGTTTCTTTTTTCACTTTGTTTTGTAAAGCAGGATTTTTAATAGTAATCTTTGATTTTATTTGCACTGATCATGCAAATAGAAACACTCTAATCTGGTTTTACATTATATGAAAATGAGAATCCTTTGTTTGAATTATCTGTGTTTTATTTCACTTCATCATAAATGTTCTTCTTTTATAATTTCAGAGAAATACTCCCAGCCCCGTGTCTCAATCGGGTTTGACCAACGGTAAGGAGGATTCAATACTTTTTTTTTTCAGTTTTTTTTTTTATTTTTTTAATGCGAGTCAGTGTACTTGTCTGTTGTTTAAAAAAAAATAATAATAATTTTACTAAGACGGTTCTGAGATGGTGTCCTGTGACAGCATGGCTTCTTTTTCTAACCAGAAGAATCTGGTACTAAAGGACTTCAGAGGTACTGTAGAGAAATGACCAGTACCAGATGAAGTCCAGCTGTCTGTCTTGCAGTCTGAATGGAGTTAACCTGTAGAAAGGTTTCTGCCAAGTCTTACTATAAATCTTTTATGGATGTCCCAATACAGCTTTCATGTCGGATACGTTACCAATATGGCAGCTTTAAGTACCAATCGTTATTGATATTGACACGATACCAGGATTAATCATACAGCCTTTCATTAAATTATTTTATTGTGTGGGACAAAAAAAAGTGTTAGACAACTGACCCATTTCTTTCAATTTTAATCTTGGTCTTAAAAGCATCATCCGTCTTAATGAATTGTGATTTGAAATTTCTAGGCTGAGAACCTCCATTATTTTCTGTCTATAAGGGCAATAGTCATCTAGTTTGAGGTCCTGTTTTTAAATTTAATGGCTAATAAAAATTATTTTTTCCAGTTTTATGTAATTTCCCATTTATGCATCTGGATATTGTTTTAATTTCCCTTTTCAAAAAGCCTGCATATAATTTTTTAACCCAGAATTACAGAGATAATCAGAATAGATCTACATCTGAATCCACAGCTCAGATCTCAGAGTAAACCTTCAGTCAGTATAGGCCATTAAAAGGCTGGTTGGTTTATCGCTGATCATGCAAGGAATTCATAGGTTCTCTAAAGGCAAATTTATACTTCTGACGCATAGCCTCTGCAACCGTCAAATCTGTTTCTGTGTGCGACCACGCCCCATGCGCAGAGGTTCTGCAACCATCGTCACACACCTCAAAAAATATCCTGACTACACGTAGGACGGTTGCAAACCCGCGCAGACCTCAAGTGGAAGTGCGCAGACAAAAAGCAGCTCTGATTGTCATGTCGTGTTTGGTCGTCATTCTCGATTTGGTGCCGGGGCACGCCATTTAAAAAAAAAAAACAAGTAACGATGAACAACTACGACGAAGGATTAATCGAGGAGGCTTCGTAAGTAGAACCACTTGTACGACAAATTATATAAATAAATATATCGTCTTCGATGTCTAGCAACTCTAGATCAATCTCAGTGACATCTTGCAGATGCAGCATTGTTGTTTTGGAAGATAAACACTCCCGTCGGCGCAGCTGAAGTTCTCGCGACTTCTTGAATAGGCTTCCACTTGCGGTTTGGCAGTAAACTGCTGTGCGTCCCTAGAAATTCCAGACCAACGGTGCAGAAGCATACCAGCAAAACTGGTTCACCACCAGACCCAAGCTAAACTTGATGTGTGCCGTTGCAGAAGTATAATCTGCCCTTAACTCGGATCATTTCTGCTCCTTAAACATTTTAAACCCTGTTTTAAATTGCGTCTGACACCTACTGTGCTTCTTTTGTCGAAAACTCATTTACAGGCTTGAACTTGTTACCTTTTTATATACATTTAAAAAGTGTTGTCAAATAATTTTTGTTTTTCCTTATCTTTAACCTCGACTTTAAACTGCTGCATCTCTCCAGGATATTCATGTAGCTCAGGCCTGATGAATGGAGGTCCACACCATGAGGACCACAATGGTGCTTCTTTATCACCTCTTCCACACAGCAACAGTCCTCTGACAGGACCAACGGGTCGAGGTGGCCCCATCCAGAGCCCCTCCTTGAGCACCGGAGGCGTGCTTCAGTATGCCGACGGACCGCCACGGATTCTCCCCGAAGATGGAGCGGACCGCCAAGGTGGGGATTCAGACACAGAGCTCCAAGAAAGGGAACTACGGATGAAGATTTTCTTCTCATCTTCCCCCTCTTCATCTTCGTGTTCCTCTTCATCAGGCAGTGGAAACTGTGCGACTGGAGCATCACGCCTCCATCATCATGCTGGCTCAGCCAAGCAGGGATATCACAGTAACCATGGAAACCACCACCACCAGTCTCCCAGCACGCAGCACGCACACACTCCCACACATACGTCATCCTCCCACAGCTTCAGCTCTCAGGAGCGGTGTAGGCGTTGGAGGAGGAAACGCAGCTCCACAGGGGCAGCGGCGTCCAGCACCTCCCCGAAGAGACGCTCGTTCTCTGGGGTCGGCTCCAACAGTCACTCCTCTGGATCGCCTCTCAACATCAACTCCATGGTGGGTCACTGTGACAGAAGGAACGTTGAGCTGTCATCCTTATCTTGTGAAGAGAAAATTAAAGCAGAAAGATTTTCAGATTAAGCGATAGTTAATCAGATTCGATTATTGTCTTTATAAGCTGTGAAAGTTTTTTTGGACTGAAGATAAATGTTCTGTTTAACCTCAACAGGTGAACAACATCAACCAGCCTCTGGAAATCTCCGCCATCTCTTCTCCAGAGGAGTCAAGCCGAAGCCCCCACGGTGCTGACCTGGACCAGCCCCCCATCTTAAAGAGAGAGCGCCCCCTGGAGTTCAATGGTAACGGTCGATACTCGACCACCCCCAGCTCTGATGACGAGGACTCAGGATATCCTCCGGACAGCTCCAGTTCCCGGTAATTTAGCAGCAAACACCGCCTGAACTCTGTGTGGTGCAGGACGACTTTTTCTTTCGTTTTCAGCTTTTGAAATATTGTGTAATTAAATTCTCTCATAAAAAAATACGTTTAAGTATATAAAACCTCAGAACCCGCCTGTTTTTAGAATTGTTTTTTTTTTTCTTTAATGCAAGCTGCGTCATTTGGCTCACAATAACTTTGTTCTTTCTAGCATCGAAAGGAAAATAGCCACTATATCATTGGATAGCAGAGATGGACATAGACTGGTTGATGGGGAACGAGGTAAGAGAAGAACACTCTACACTTTGGGAAATGTTTCAGTCTTTATTTTTGCCTCTTTTGGTGAAGAAATCCGTTGTCTTCTTTCTAAATAGGAAGGAAATCTGGCAGCAGCAGTGGCAACAGCACAGGCAGCGAGGCTTCCTCATCATCCTTTTGCTCAAACAGCAAGTGGAAATCGACCTTTTCACCCATATCAGACCCCAAGCAAAACAACTGTGACCTCAGTCAGGGGGGGTCCCCTTTCAGCAGTGGGGGGTCGAGCCGAAGCACAGACTCAGACTCGGACTACAAACAACAGAATGGGAGGAAAGGGGGCGACGGGGATTGCTCCAGCTACATGACCCCCAACCCTTTCCTCAGTCAGGAGACAGGAGCGTGGGTCGCCACTAATGGCTGCGGTGTCCAGGGAGGAACCGGTTCCGACCAGCGCCAGGTCCTCCAGAAGCAGAAGGGTCCACGTGACTGGGAGCTGAAGAACGGCAGCAGCATGGCCAGTCAGAACCTCTTCATCGCCGCCGCTGCCGCCAGCAGTGGTGGAGGCATTCTGAGTGGGAAGGTTGGAGGCAATCCCAACGCAGTGTCCTCAACCACTGGGCCATCTATGGGGCAGTACCTGAGCTCCCAGTTTCCACTCACAGGGACCACGGTCCTTCAGTCCTTGTTCGGGGCCCAGACGGGTGTCTCAACTGTGAACGGGACCTCCAGGCTTGTAAACGGACATCCTGCCCTGGGAAGCTTCTCCAGTGCAGGGTTGGCAGGTGGAGCAGCAGGAGGTGAGCATCACTGATAACGTAGGAGTTTGGTATCCAATATGGGAACAGTCAGAGTTACTGTAGGTCTAAGTCTTATTCAGTAGTCGGAGCGAGGCTAGGAAACAGGTGAGTGGAAACACAAGCTTGTTCTTTTGGTGTTTGAACCACAGACGCTCTTTGCTGCTTTGCTTCTGACGTGGATCGGCTGCCAACAGAAACACCTCTGGACAATGCTGTGAAGGAATTGATGCTTTAACAAAAAAAAAACAAAAAATGGAAACCTTGTTAACAAATTGACTTATTTCTCTGTCATTTCCTGGGGTGTTTGCGTTGTCTCAGAGTCTTTTCACCAGATTCTCTTCAGCCATTGTTTGGTTCCATTGCTGTCTCTGCAAGAATCACTGTCTGCTTTTTGTGTGATTGTCTCAGACTTGCTTGCCGCTTGTGCAGAACCCCGCTCAGTCGTTGCCTCTTTCTTTGTCCCCCTCTCCTGGCTCTCTCTCCGCTGCTGTCATCTGCTCTGTCTTCCTCTGCTCTCCACTCTCTCGCCCCCTCCCCCCCACTCGTCCGTTTCTGCTGTATAATTTGCAGGTATTTTTCACCATGTGGTTCCCTCAGCGTCCTCCCATCAGTTTGGGGTGACACTGTCCACCTCTGGAGGCCTCGGCTCCCTGCTCAGTCACTCCTCCTCTTCCTCTGCCTCCTCCCAATCCCAGCAGCGCACCATTCCTCCACCTGCCTCCACGCGCCTGACCTCTGTGTCCCCGTCTCTCTCGCTGTCCCAGGCCCAGCACAGCCGCACGCAGTCAGTCCTGCACAGCCCCTCTCTCTCGCTGCCCCCTCCACCACCCCTTCATAGTCTCTCCTCCTCCACTTTAGCCTCCACACACTCTGACATCTCATCGTGTTCTAAGTCTGACTCCCTCCACTCCTCGCGTCTCTCCCAGACTTCTCTCCATCACCAGAGAATACAGTTATCTCTCTCGCTTTCCCTCACCACCTCCTCCACCACTTCATCCTCTGTCCCCCCTGCTGCTTCTCCCTCCCCCTCCACCTCTTCGTCATCCCGACCATTCACAGTGCACCCCCCATCCAGGCTGCCCGTGCCTCCATTGGGCAGCAGCTCAGGCGGTGGCATGTGGAGGACTCAGGGCATGCATGGTCCACACACCAACTCCCAGATCCTCGGCCCCCGACCTAGATAGTGTTTGGGCCGAAGGGCAGTGGGGAGGAGGGGATGGGCGCGGGGGAATCAGAGAGTGGTTAGAGAAAGATAGGGGGAGAGAGAGAGAGACAGGATACCTGTTTTCCATGTTTTTCTACAAGCTGTTGTTCAAAATGAACAAGGTAAGAGGCCTGACGACTATTTTAGGTGTGTCTCATTTTACCTTGTTACTCATGGAAGTTTTACATCGCACAAGCAGTCACCCCCTTAGGCTTTTCCACATTGTGGCAGCAGGTTATGGACACACACATCAATGTATTTTAATGTTATTTTATGTGGTAGACAGAAAAAACTCAGTGCATGACTGAAATGTGAGGAAAATGATTCATGGTTCAAAACTGGATCTGATGTAAAGACCTGAAAAGGCTTAATGTGAAATTTGTTTTCTGCCCCCTTTTGACCCCAGAAAGCACCATTTTCTTCAACCATGCCTTCTGTTCTGTTGAGGTGTCTGTAGATGCTTTGCTCACCTCCACACTGCTCTTTCTGACCATCCTTCTTTACAATATGTAAAGATGCAGCTCAAGTTCTTGTGAGCTCCTTTCAATGCTCTCCTTCTACTCCCTGGACATAATGGCTGAATTCCCCATCAGACGTTCTCCAGATCTGCCTGGGATCCAGGCCTTCCCATACGTGGAGCAGCTTTTGAGGCCTGTGCTTTGGCACCCTTGATCTTAACCCTCCCATAGCTCAGATCTATGCAGACTAGCAGATTTTCTGCATCTTTTATAAAGTTCATCATTCATTTCTCTTTTAATCAGCTTCAATTGAACTCGATCAGTTATAAAACCGTCTTGTTCAGGTTTGTTCTGCTCCACAAGTCCTGCTTTTTTTACGCTCTCTCCCTCATTGTCACTTCTTGAATCTGCAACTCCTTCTGAGCTATCATGACCATCATGGCTTCTACACTTTTCAAACTCTCCATTCACTTGTTTCACACTCTAAATGACAAACTTGTGCATCTTTTTTCTATGACCTGACCCGTCCTCTGTGGTCATTGGTATACATTCCTGTCTGTTCACTGAGGTTCTTTAACACAGTTTTGAAGGCTGCTAGTTGTACTAGGTTTTATTTGCAGGTACAGGAGTGTTTATATAAATTGACTCTGGTTTGTTCCCCTCTAAGCTGTACACAACTTTATGTTGATTTAACACATAAAACTGCATTTAAGTGTGTTTATAATTGGACAAAATGAAGAGTTAAACCGGTCCAAACTCTTCCAAAGCACAAAGGCTGCTTTGTTGTTGCTAATGAATGTTTCTGCTCCAAGTGACTGACTGTATTATTTTCTGTCTGTGACTGTTTCAGGTAATTGATGAGAACTACCTCAACAAGAAATAAACTATGCAAATGTCCAGGTGTGGACCAAGGCACACTCCTCTTTCACTGGTGCTTCAAACCGTCTGCACTACCCAACCGCCTCCAAGACCGGCTTTCCACTGGGACATCTGGGACTCTCACACTAAGGACCACTGTGGTCACCTGGAGCATCTGTTTTTAAAAGTCATGTTTATGTTTGATGTATCAAATGTCTGTGTGAAGATTTATAATCTGGACTTCAGGCCCAAGGAAAATAAATGATTGAATCAGTGTCAGCTCAAATCGGATTGTGGTGGTTAAGTGGAATTACATCCTGGAGCGTCCATCTTGTGAATCCTATCAGGTGCTCCACTCCTCCCAAAGCTTCCCTTCATGTGTGTTTGAATACTGAAACACAGAGAATCAGATATTCAAACAGCTCTCAGATATTTTGCAGCTTTTCCTCACAGCATGCTTGTTCACCTAACCATGTTTCCTTCCCTCTTGAGCATGATGAGGATCTCTTGTCTGACGTCACACTGGAATTAGGATAAAGATGTCCCAGTCTCAGTGGGTTCTTTTGCACCACATTATTTTATTTTATTTTTTTAAATACCAAAAAGATCATTTGAGTTCCCTTTCCATTAGGTGGGAATTAAACTTCAATTTGATTTGAATTACAGTTTGATCTAATATCAAGTATTCAGCAGTATCACTTAAAATCTCTTTAGTTATGCTTTTTTTCAGTGTTTGAAAATTAGTGGGAACATCTGCTAATCTTAAAACATCATTGTTATTTTTAGACCATTTGGTGAAGAAGACTTTACCAGCAGCGTGTGTTTTAATCTAAAAAGATGAACTTATATTCACTAACTATGGCTTATTTTAGTGGAGGTTTAAGGACTGGCTTAGGATCGGGTGTAGAGATTTATTGGAGTCGGTTAGTTTGGGTTTTCTGTTCTTGAGTCAGCTTGGTTAAGTCACACTACTACTTGGAAGGATTTCGTTTCTGCAACCAAGTTTTTAAACTGGTCTTAAGCTAAATTTTGCCCTATTTATATTTGCTGCACTTGGTGAATACAACCACGCACACATAACACAGAGGCAAACATGCAAAGCCTCGCACACTGGGTTAAAAAAACAAAGCAAAATTTACAGTAACCACAACAAAACTACTGGACTACCTTCACACCTTTGTTTGCTTGTCATTTTTTTTTTTTTTTTGGTAAACAATGTATGTACTGTGAATGTGATTCATTCTCCGACTGTATAGTTGTTGATAATTTAGAAGATTATTATTTATGCTGACCGTCTGTCCTTTTCCCTTGGTGTATGTTTCTCACTTTGAATTGTGTTGACAAGTAGAATGCAATGGTGTGTGTGTGTGTGTGTGTACTTGACTCACAGTCTGAAAACAATGGTGCTAAGTTTGGACTTTGCCTGAATTTATTTATTGTAAATTGAAATCAGAAAAAAAAAGAAAACAATTTCAATTCTTGGTGCTCTACACAGGGACATTCTTTAGGCCATTTTTGGCTTTTTTTTCTTCTCATATTTAATATACTGTTCCAGATTTTAGCCTAGTGTTCAACAGTAGACGCCGCCTAATGATGATAAAACTCTAGTAGCTGCCTCAGAGTTTGAGTAAATAGGTTTTGATGTTCTCCTAAAGAGGTTTTTTTCCACATATAGACTGCTTTTTCTCTCAGAAGTGAACTTCTTATCTCTCAGTGAATAAGAAACACTGTTTTTATATTGTTTTTTGTTTTAAGTCTCCCATCAAAGTTTTATAAAGTATGTATCTATTTACATTACGTCTATAAAAGTAAATAAATATATATGTATATAGCTATATATATGAAAGTGATTAGGGATGTTTGGTGCTCACATTCTGACCCTTATTTTCAGCCTGTTTAAACAGGAGGCTTGAAGCCAAGCTGAGCAAAGCAAAGCATTACCACCTCGGGACCTTAACACGGCAGCACCTGAAGCTTTGTGATGTAAGAAAAACAGGACTAGATACACAAACTGTGTTCCTATGTAAACACACGGCGGTGCTGTAGCTCAGACACACGTAGAACCCAGCACTAGAACTGTTCTCACTTAAATCAGGTGTTTTCAGCTCTATTTTTCTTTTGTTTTGGATCCGCACTCTGCAGAAAGAAAGAAAAAAATAAATGGTGCTTATGTTTCAATGCAACCCGGGTTCGGTTTTACAAACTAGATCTTAACTGGTGCATATAACGCCATGTCGGCGTCTTTTTCATGTTTTTTTTTTTTCTCCCCACACGCTATCTTCCTGACTAGGCCGAACTTTGTCAAGTGATCATGTTGTGTAACGGCTTACAGACATTCTGATGTAAAGTACTGTTTTGATGATCGAGAGCAGCAATGCCTCCTTTTAAACCTGCTAGAGGAAAATGCATTTAAGCTCAGTTATGTGTGGGTGCTGTATCTTTTTTCTCTCCCAACTCTTACTAGTGCATATCTAAGGGAAGATTAGACTAAAATGGAAAGCTTTACAGTCAAACCTCCTGTCCTGTGCACTCCTCATGTAAACAAACATTCTCCTCACCTGTGCGTGTTAAAACGAAGAGAAGAAAGTCATTTTCAGATGTAGTTAGATACTAGTCCATTTGTTACCAGCACTGAGAGATATTTTGTAATTATTGTTGATGCTGTTTGGATTATTTTTCTTTCCTATTCTTGGTGTTTGATACAATTACAGTTACATGTAATGCTTTTTATGGTGTATGCAGATTCCTGTCAGGTTTTATTACTACTATCCAGATGGACAGCACGGTGCTCTCCTTTACTTCAGATATAAAAATGCAGCTTTTGATAGATGCTACCCTTCTATTGTGCTGCAGGGTTTTATGGTTAGAACATGTTTAATCTGAGCTCGCTTTGTGGCTTTCCTGATGGTCCAAACTCTTGGATCTTTTCTTTTTGAGGTGATTTGGTGCATGCACTGCTGAGAAAGGTTTGTCTTATAAAAGGTTAAATGTGCTCATCACAGCTTTTAGTCAGATTTGTAGTTTTTTTGTGCTTTTTTTTTTTTTGGAGTGTTATTTGCAATTAAAGAATTTTTTTCAATATTCCTGGTACGTCTTTGGTAGATTTGTGAGTTTTTGCACTCTAGGCTGTTTACTTTAAATCCTGCCAAAGGTCTTAACTCAGGAAGCTTCCAACAGTTTTCTATAAACAGCTCATTTATAAATGTGGCATGATGGAGTCCCCCTTAGAAACTAAGCTCAGGACGAAGATAAACTCGGTGAGCATATTTTTTAAGCAAAAACCTGCCTGTGATGTCCTCAGACTGACTCCTAGCAGTGCATGCGCCGAGCTCCATGAGTCGCTATGATCTCAGGAAAGCCATGAAATTTGCTCCGACTTCTTTCATCTCACAAAATGCCTCTGTCTCGAGATGTGTCGGCCAAGAAAGAGGTGCGGCGTCCTCTGTCCGGATCCCTTTAACCGTCGGGGCTGGCAGTGGAGGACGGCTGCTACCTGAGTGGTTGGTGTGCGATCACCTGTGATTGGTGAAGCCAGGGCAGGTTTGAGGTGCAATAATGGCAAACCTACTTTCCAAAAGGCCCTGGGTTTTTCCTGAAACAATTGTTACTGTTTGATGTTGGTGCTTCTATCCTATGATGTTAACATGAGACAAATGGAATTAGTGTTTTGGGTTTTATTTCTGCCTCTTATGTTTATTAATAAAATGTTTCATATGATATTGGCATGTTTTGGTGTCCAGAGTATTTAATCCTGAATATATTTAAAGGTAGAGACGTGAAATTGTTCAATGAAGTGAAATATTGAATTAATATGTTCTAAATGAAGGTATAAGGAGGGTTTCTGCAAGCATTGGCTGACCCTTTTAAATGAAGAGCACCACAGCATAAAATAATTGGATTAATTAGATCTACATTAGAACTTAAAAACATCCTTTAGTGCTCTTTCACTGATGCTGCCAGCGTCCACGTCCTACAGTATCCATTAAGCTTCTTCTTTACTGGTGAAGTAATAAGAGTTCCATCTATATTCACATTAAGGAATGCACAAATCATATTTTAGATGTGCAGCATTGTTTTTGAGGTGAGAGATATGAAGGTAACTTTGAATTATAAGCAATTGTGCATTGATAATGTTGCAGAGAAAAATATAAGTTTTGTAATTTTCATTTTTCTGCTGTTTTTTTTACAATTCAAATAATTTAGTAAAAGTATCTAAATTGTTCTCTGAGTTACATAACCATATCTATTGTATTTATAGTTTTGCTTAGGGGTGTTGCCCTTAATTGTTTTTTGTCCTACCTATCCAATTGGAGTTTCTATTTAAAACTGGAGAACTTTGTTTCCTCTCTTCTATCTTTCTATCTCCTGATTGCACAGAATAAAACAACTTACACTTGGCCTCAATGACAAAGCATGGCTATCTTAACTTCTTAGTCTAAATTTGAACAAGACAGAAGTTATTTGGGGGAAGGGGCTCTTTCACCAAATGTAGATCTTGGTTCACGGTCAGTTTAACTCAGGTTCTCCGCCACAAACTCTGGTTATTAGTCTATTTTAATCTTATTTATTCTTAACTTTATTCTTAACACTTTGGCTACAACTGCAGTTATTAAGCGTGCTATAGATCGGTTGATTACACTAGATCCTAACAGAAACAATTCACAAATACT